GGGAGAACAACCTCAGCGTGTACAAGACCTTGTCGGCCTCCGACAGCGCGTTAAAATCACCTGGCCTGTACTGGAAGTCACCTCCGCGTACCAGATCGCGAAGCCGGGTCACAGACTCGGGTTGGCAGCGCCAAAGTCTGCGAAACATGGCGTCTTGCGCCACGCCGCACAAGGGGCAAAGAAGGTCGGGCAGGATGCACCCGCGGGCCTCGGCACGGGTCTTGGTCCGGGGCGCCTGACAGACGAGGCCACGGATGGCCCCCCTCTCGAATCGGGGTAAACTTAGGAGGACTCATGGCCGCAAGGGCCACATCAAAGCAGAGTCTGCAATCAAGGCCGAGCGACCGCCCATAGCCCCTCTCCAAATTACGAAACACAGCCGAACGGAGGAGGCGTTTCAGGAGGCAGGGGGAGACCAGCGTGAAGGAGACCTCTTCACTCAAGCCATCAACGAGCATGCTGAAGCTCTTCATCTTCCACCCAAGACGCCCCACCGAGAGCCCGAGGGCCCCCGCGGGCCCCCGAATCTTGCGCCAGGGAAGCGGGGGGCCCGAGAAACCCGCAGCCTAGGCGCGGCGCAGCTCAGCCAGACACAGGCCAAACTGATAGGCCCCCACCAGCCTGGCCCAGGCCCAAATCTCTTTCGACCGCCTCACAATCGGGGCGGCCGCGGCGCACCAGGTGGGGTCGGCGGCAAACGGCAAAGCTGCCGTGAAACATCTCCCGCCAGCAGACGGATGCAGGAAACGGCCCATGGCGCGTCTGAGTGTGAACGGCTCGTTGTCCGAGGCACCGCGCACCCCGCGCCCGCAGGCGCGGCTGGCGAGGGGCCCCGTCGCGAAGACTCGACGCGAGTGACGACCGACGTTTTTTTTCGCGACGGGGCAGACGCTCAGTCTTCCTAGAAAACTGGACACAACGAGCCTTGATCCTCTCTCCTCGACGGGCGACGCGACGGGGCCTGCCAGCGGCATCGTCGATGCCCAGGTTGGCAGCTGCGTCGCGCGGCGCTCCGCCCACGGCGCCGAGACCTTGGCGGACCGCCTTAGCAACAGAGGAGACTGAGGCGACTACAGCCGCCTTCTTGATAGCGGTCGAAGCTGAGACCGCCATCGATGACAGTCTGAAGCTTGATGGCCCCCATCCAGGAGGTCATTGACGACTGCAGTCGCAGCCCCCTGACAGGACAGAGTGGAATCGCCAATGTAGATCTTCACAGAGACCGATCTTGGCAGACTGAGCCCGCCCAGGGCAGCTAAAGCCACAAATGAAAGCCGTGGCGAAGCCGCAGCCTGCCACGTTGCCGCGCCATGCAAACTTTGGCCCCACGACGCTGCTGCCCACCCTGCTGACCATGGCGACGCAGCGGCAGGCACGGTAGGCCACGTCACAAATTCGAACGGTCTGCATAGGGGAACCCGTGCTGGCGGCATCGCTGGAGCAACAAATCTAAATCAACCGGCTCGCAAAACTTCAGAAGATCCAGAAGAACCGAGCTCGAACACATAGGATGAAACAGCCTTCTCGCTGCCCACGCCCAGCCGCCAGACCGCGCCCACGCTACAGGAGAAGGGGCCAGCCGCAAAGTAATGTCGCGCGTTAGCCGCATCCCACCTGCAGGCGTGAACACGACGGGCCCGTGCCCAGAGGCGATGCGCTAAAACGAACAGCCAGATGGGGCGGCGTCCACCGTCGGGCTGGGCAAGCATGATCAGCAACAGCACTTGCATCTGCGCGGGCAGGAGACCTGACTCCTCGGACGCGGCGGTCACCCGGGTGAGAACGGCGAGGGCCTGATTCGACATGTGCTGGAAGTTGCTAACATGGAAGCCGTCGGCGGACGCCGCAGTGCGCTTGGGGAACGATCGAGACGCGCGGCGGAGGTCGTCGAGTGCGAGCTCGAACAGCGGGTCGAGAACTCCAAACATTCCTACCGCTGACGGGTCGGTCTGAAAATCCTCGGCGCGCCAGAGACCCGAAAATTTAACGCATTCAAAAGCGAGGAGGGCCAAGGGGCGCTAAGAGTAGTGGGCGGGGCCCAGGCGGAGGCCCCCCTGACCACGCCATGGGCGTGACGAGCTCCTGTCTCAATACTCGTTTTCAGCCGAAGAACCTATTTCTGCTGATCTTCAGCACGGGCACCCTGCTCGGCCACAACTCGGGCCGGGGAGACCGCATCGAGGGCGAACTCGGGCCCCCCAGAAACAATCGCCAGGCCAGGGGGGGGGGGGGGGGGCGTGGACCACAACAACCGGACAACGCTGCAGCAGAGCAGATGCGTCGCCGCTCCACTCGCCAAGCCTGACGGGCAGGTTGAAACGTTCGGTAGCCGTGGCCGAGAGGTGGCTGACCCGCACCGAGCTGTGCTCGGGGGCCGCTTTGTAAACGACTGAGTGTCCTGACAACGATTGTCGCAAGCCGCTGCGAGCAAAACTCGGGGAGGAGAGATGGGCCTCTTCAGCCGACGCCCGAAGGGCGTGCAGCTGCAACCATAACCTGCAACAGTTGCTGAGCCAGCGCAGATGCGAAGCTAGGCGAGAGATGGGCGACGCTCCTTCCATTGTCGCCTTACCTGGCTGCAGCGCACTGATCCACTGAAGCTCCGCCTGCCGACCGCGACTGGCGCGGTGCGAAAACCGACGCTGGTCAATCCCTCGAGCTCTTTCTCGACCGTGTTAGCCCAATGTTTGTATATGGTGTCAAGGTGATATTGGGCCCGATCCACACCCCATTCTCGGTCGCAGCAAGGGCTCGGGAAGCGATCGCACCGAGCAGCTCCCACTTCGGAAGGGGGTTGGGGGCAGGGC